CCACTGCCCGCCCCCCTGACCAGGTCCCCATAGGCAGCCAGAGCCATTTCGATGGCATGGACAGCCACCCACAGTGCTGCTTGTGTGCGGCAGAGTGGGGCTGGAAGGATGCTCATCCATCCTCGGGCATGCTTGTATATACATGCATACACACGCTCACACTCATAATGATGGTTGAGGGGAGCAGACATCCGGATCCAACAAGATAGATGACCACGGATGTGCCGCAGACGGGGTCTATTCTCCAGCTTGCTATCCAAGCCACCAGAGGGCTGGCTCTGTGATCATTCAGTGAATGATCTTGACCAAAGAGGCTGGAGAGGGGCCAAGGGCTGTAGACCACACAGGAGAGGGGCCAAGGGCTGTAGACCGCTTGCAAGGTGAGTCCTACCTGGGTGGCTTGATCTGTTTACACAGCAAGTAAGCAGGCCCCCTTCAGTTTCACACCAGGTGAGCGGCTTGCTCCCAGCCTGCCTCCCAACCCCTAACCCACCCCAAGTCCCTGTCTTGGGATCCCCAGTGTCCAGCTTACCCGGGTACTCTTTAGGCTCCCTCATTGACCCACTCCACCTCAAGCAAGTTTTCTAGACAGAATAGTGAAATAGAATGACTGTTTTATGTCATAAAAGACAAAGCGTTTACTTCCTTTTTAGCTCCTCATTGTGCAAACTGGTGCGCTCATCTCCTCTGCCTCATAAGATTGAAGTCTTTTTTTTTTTTTTTTGTGCTGGGATGAACAAGTGTCTCACTCTGGTTTGGGGATGAGTACAAATTAGTATTCCAGGTGTGGAGACACTAGCACTCTGGGGTGAGATGGTCGGGGGCGGGGGTGGTCCAAGGAGCAGTAGGAGGTGTGCCTCGGCTGGAAATGCTTGGCTGGGAGCCGATGGCCAGCCAGAGGGACCCCTTGCTCCTTACCTCTCCCCACACCCTGCATCCGCTATAGCCAGCCAGAGTGATACCCGCAGCAGGATGTACAAACCATAGGCTCATTAACAGAGGCTGGCTGGGCATCGCAGTCAGTGGTGTGGGAATACCAGCCGACTGAAGGCGGAGAGCTTTAAGAGGAACACAACCCAAGCGTGCTTGTTCGATCCTGGCTCTTGCTTGCAGCCCAGAGCTGATGACACTTGGGCAGGTCAGGGCAAACAACAAACATGGGAGCTGATAGAAGGGCAAGCAGGACCCTAATCAGTGTGGTCAATGGGTTCCTAGCAGGACTCCTTTCTCTCCCTCTCCCCACGACCCACTAGTATCGGCTTTGGCATATAGCATGGGTCACAGTGCATCTGATGAACTGATGGCCTGAGATTTCCCTGCTGAGGAAGAAAAATGGCAACAGAAGGCGGTCCTAGATACGATTCCTTTATTATCATGCCCCCTAGCATATGAAGCTGGGCTTACACTGAGGCCAGCTAAGGAGGGAGCGTGTTTACAACTAAAGCGATTCCTCTGTATATGGTAGGTTACGACAACTTCTCTGTTTCTAGAATACCGTGACAACCCTTATCCACAGGCCAGCTGGTTCCAGGAGCCTTTCTGCCTTCACTAATACAGGGCTGCCTGGACACACTTGCGGCCCTTGCACTGGGTGTCGCTGGTGCATAAGCGGGAGGGGAAGGGGCACGCTGGAGCCTGGGGGATGGAGTACAGGGCTGGGCATTATGCTGAAAGAGATGATGAGGGCAATGAGAATGGAGTGGGGTTCTCCCAAGGCACACAGGAAGTGGTAGAAAAACAGGTCTGGAGTGTAAAAGTGTTCCCTTTTGGGAAGAAGACCCAGCCACTTGGTCTCCCAGCCAAGGTCACAGACCCACTCAAAGAGCCCCACTCTGAGTCCCACTCAGAGGACAGAAGGCACCGCCAGAAGGCACAGCAAGAGAAGCACTTTCCTGGCTGGCCACGAACTACCCCTAGAGGCACTGCTGCACCCAAGCTAGACATCACGAGTGACTTTTGAGCCCTGAGAGCTGGAACATACAAAGGAGAGTGGCCAAGTGTCCTCCTTTGTGGTGTGGTCTAAAGCAGTGGTTCTCAAAGTGTGGTTCCAGGGCCAGCAGCATCAGTATCACCTGGGAACTTGCTAGAAATGCAAATCCTTGGCCCTACACCTTCTGATTTGAAGCTTGGCGGGGGTGGGGTGGAGTGGGGAGTGGAGTTCACAGCAATCTGTGTTAAAAAGCCCTCCAGGTGATCCTGATGCATGCTCAAGTTTGAGAACTGGTTTAGACACCTGTGGCTCATTAGCATCCTTGGCGGATGTGAGCGCCACCCAGCGGTGACACGAAGTTGGGCGGGGGGGAGTGGGGGAGTGGTTTCTCCTTAGCTAGTCAAACTGCCTTCTCTTTCCCCTCCATTTGTCCCCAGGCCCAAAGTGGCCAGAAAGTAGAGAATGTTTTCAAGGCTGATAGTAGAATGGGTGGTAGAATGGATGAAAGTAACTATTTTAATTACTTCCTCTACTTCAAAACCCCGAAGATGGACCTGGAATGGCAGGCCGGGACCAAAACTGGCTGTAGGGCATGAGGGTCCTGGGGCCACATCACTCTGGCATGTCACCCCCACCCCTCCTCAGTGCCAGGTCTGTGGCTGTGCACAGGGTGGGTGGTCTAATGAGATTCTAAACCTGAGATAGAGCTCGCACTGCCTGCCCAGCACCCCAGCATCAGCAATAAGGGGAGGGAAGGCAGGGGGTGGTCAACATTGCCACTCGGGGCACCTCCAACCTACCCAGGGTGGCTCTGTGAGTCTATGAGACCTCATGGGGCAGGGAGAAGCATTTCCTGCTCCCTTGACAGCCCTCCATGCACCCAGACAGTGGTCTCCAAATGGGCATGAAATTCTACATCTTATTCGAGGATGCTGATTGCTGAAGGAGGTCTGCTCTCACTTCGGTCTCAGCATTGGCACCTGAGGTGACAGGCCAGGAATTCCCAGTAGCAATGGCTCCTGAGGTCCTGCCTGCTGCCTAAACCACTCCACCAGGAGGGCCCAGCTATCAGGCTGAAGGAAGCCAGACTTCTCTTCCAACAGCAGATGTGCCAGGTGCCAGCGCTGGGGCCAGATGGGTGGTTCTGTCCAACGTGGGAGGGGGTGTAAGGCTGTAGCTATTCTACAGTACCCCCGAGGGACACATTGCTCCCGAACAGTTTATTACAGAGATGGAGGACTGAGGGAAACGGGGTTCCCAGCCCAGCTTCCTGTGGTTCCATCCGGCTGGGGATGGCATGACAATAGACACTGCTGCTGGCTGGCAAGTCTCTTAACTTCTCTGAGCCTTAATTTCCTCATCTGTAGAATGAGGGGGAATAAATCCTCTTACTGCAATCACTATAAGATGGTATATTTACATGACTAACATTCTGAGCAAACAGGCCTTCAGTAAACACAGGCCCTGGACACCCACCCCCAAGTGGCTATGCCTGAGGGACTCCTGGAGTTGGGGAGGGGGTAGGGTGGAAGAGCAGAACAGTCACAAACATTTTAAACAAGCTTTCATCCCCTCACCATCCTGTCTCCCTCCAAAACACATCCAGGGAGTAGGGGGATGTGCCCTTCCCCCTCGTGCCCTGTGAGCTGAGGGAGGGGAGGGCAGCTTGGCGAATTCAGGGTAAGAGTGTGGTGACTTTGGCTGTGTGGCATTCCAGCACCCGTCAGGACCAGGACTCTGCAAAATGCCGGCTTCTTTTCTGGCCCCTGATGTGCTGGGGCCTTTTGCCCACAAAGGACTGTGATGGTTTTCAACAGGCATGCCCTTCTCTCTCTCCAAGGAACTCATGACTGTGACAGCCTCCAAGCAGAGACCTGAGAGGAACTGTCTGGATGCAGATCTGCATCCTCACAGGCAGGACTGGCACACCCTGCAGGGGATGGCACCCAGCTCTGGACTCCAGCCTGTGGCATGCCCCTAGGGGAACCTGCCGTATGCTGGGCCTCCATTTCCTTTAACTGTGTCTTATCTGCCAGGCTGTTGGCATGAATGAGGAGGTCACAGCTCCAAAAAGCTCTGGGCTATTCTCTTCCTCTCTGCAGCTTGGACCAGCCATCTTCCTGTAGCAGTCTGAACAGGATGACACGCAGGGCAGGAATCAGAGCTTGTCCTGCCCTCCGCCAGGCTGGCTAAGTCGACACAGGGGCTGGGGGCAGATGAGTCGGGTTCTCCTGTGCCTCCCCTAGTGACAGAGCTGTGTAAGTGATGCCAGCCTCTCACCCCTGTCCCCATCTCCACAGGCCCTGCTGATCTCAGTAAAGAATGAAGGGGTCCCCCTAGGGGCAGACATGTTCTGGGCCGCAGCACCTCCCTGCTCACTGCCGCCACCTCTCGGGCCCCGGGCAGGAAGAGCACAGCTCTCTCTCAGCCCTCACTCTGTGAGACTTGTCAGGTTGACATCTAGCCCTGCAGAGAGCTTGAGAGTCACAGTCATTTTTGATTTATCTGCACAAATCCTGGGAAGTTGGAAGGCAGCAAAGATGATCACACCACTGTTTCTTTTGTCCTTGTAGTCTGGGATTACTGAGAAAGCGGGTGCCCCATTTAATGAATTCGCACTGGCCACCCCAAGGCCCTCTAGGTAGAGGAGCTAAGCCAGCCAGGGCTAGCCTCTCAGTTCTCTGCCACAGTTCCTGAAGAATCCCCAAGGCAGGGAGGCAATCTGCCCTGGGAGGCTTCCCATTGAGCACGGGGCAATGCCTGTTCTGAAGGTGTGCAGTTTCTGCACAGCTGAGGGCTGTGTTGGGGGCCGCAGCGACCTGTGTATGGGAGAGAGAATACCCTTCACCCAGGACTGACCCAGGTCAGCCAGAGCTGAACTCATCAGACTGGGGACTGAAACGAGTGAGGAGGCAAGGGGCGACCTTTCTTGCATAAAAGGGGCCATCTCTCATGGGTGGGATGTAAGAGGGTCCCCAGGATGGGAAGCACAGGACCCAGGAGGTGTGGAAGGCAGTGTGGGGTTCTTCCGTTAGAGCTTCCCACTTGTCACAGTCATTTGAGAGGGAGGGTCCCCAGGGCTGTCTTAGGAATTGCCACCTGTTCTTTGGAATATTGCCAGCATCTACACTCAGTATTTCCTAGGATTTGCTTTCTGTTCTCCCTTAGTATTTGGGAAAGTCCTTCCTGAAAATCCCCCATCTAATTCAGTGATTCGGGAGGGAATGGAGGGAAGGTGCTTATTTATTCTTGGAAGCAGAGTGAGGTCCCTGGAGGCTGCATGCTGGTGGCCTCGTGGTCAGGGAGTATGGGCCCAGGATGAGTGAGTTTTGGGGCAGCGTGCCCCTCTGCTTGGAGCTTCACCTTCACAGTGGCTCCCACTTTGCAGGGTCTGCGATTTGGTCTAATCAGGAAGTTTTACACCCACCCGCATTAAGAGCTGAAGATGGTTTTAAAGCTCTGATGTTCCTGAGAACCAGGCCATGAACAGGAGAACCCTGAGGGGCAGATTGCTTGAGGCTGGGCCTTGGGGCCGTGTCTCCCAAGGGCGCCTCTCCCGGGGAAGGTCTCGAGGTGGGCGCAGGTTCCTGATGCAGCATGTGCTGGGGTAGTCACTGCCCCCCACCTTGCGCCCTGCCCCAGCAGCTCCAGGCCTAACACTGCTCAGCCTCAGCTCCCGGCTGCCTCAGCTCAGTTCTCTCCAAGCCCATGCCCTGTAGGAAGGACCCAGAAGGTCAGCACACTCCTTTCCTGGTGAGAAGGCATTGGGTGCTGTGAGCAGATCGAAGGGCCGGGTCTTCTGGGGGCAGAGACAACCCTAACTGCCCCACATGAGTGCAGTTCCTGGAGGGGAGCGCAAACCGCCCAAAGCCCGATGCAGAGCCAAGAGGAGGGCTGCTCAGCACCAGTGGGGGTCACGCTGAATGCAGGTGTCCAAGAGGGGCCAAGGTTTGTAGCCCTTCGCTCTTGGTTTGGGAGTTGGGAGGGAGCAGAGAGCCCAGCTCTCACTCTCCTGTGGTCCAGGGGACCCTGATGTCTGGTGAGGGGCTTTGGCTGTTGTCCCCTAGGAGAGTCAGTCCCCCGCCCAGGGATTCGGGCAGTGAGCACTCAGAAGTGGAAGGAGGGGCTGAGGGTCCCAGGCCAGGTGGAACCTCAGGAGCCATGGTCTTGGGCACTTGGGTCCGAAGGGACTGAGCACAGGGGATAGGGAATTTCTGGGAGTTTCCAGGTGAGCTGATGCTGACTCCGCAGTTCTGGCAGATGGGATTTGGGCACCTGTCCTTGTGAGGGAAAGCTGGAGGGGGACACAGTTGGTCATTAGTGGAAATGCAGCTGGAGCCTCCGGTGCAAGCAGCAGGTGAGAACCATTCCGCAGGTCTGCCAGGTGGAGAGAACAGAGGGGAAGAGGGATCAGGACCCCACTGGGCTGCAGGCGGGCAGTGCCCCACGGCGCTGCTTCTCACGTTGAGCGCACACGTGGGGATCTTGATAAAGGGCAGATTCCCACTCAGGAGGTCTGGGTAGTGGTGTGAGATTCTGCAATTTTAACAAGCTCCCGGTGATGCAGGGGGTGGAGTGGGGAACACGCTTTGAGAACTACTATCCAAGAGCAGTCTCTCTCATACTTTAATGGACAGATCACCCAGGGACCTCATTATAAGGCAGATTACAACTCTGTAGGCCTAGGTGGTAGCCAACATTCTGCACTGCTAACAAGCTCCCAGTCCATGCTGCTGGTATGTGGTCTAGAGCTTCTCCAGAGGTGGCCCGATTGCTGCCTGAGCAGCTTTCTCTAGGAGAGAGTCAGTCTGCATCCTGCTGCTCTGGCTGATATACAGAAGCCACTGGAGAAACTGAGGCTGTGGGAGGAGGACCCAGAGCTATCACCAGCTCATCCTATAAAGCAGCTTGAAATGTGGCACCAAACTAGGCCTAAGAAGCCTGCCCGATAACCCCCCTGTCATGTCCTCTAGCTGAACAAGAAGGGGCTGGAGCATCCTGCCCAGAGCAGTGCTGGGAAGTCACTTCTTCCTTGTCTCACTTTCCTGTCTCTAAAATGCAAAGAACCTTTATTCATTTGCCTTGTTCTTCATTTGCCTCCTTCTTCCTCCCTTTTCTTCCCCCTCCCTCTCCACCAAAGATTCATCTAAGACAAGATGAGGCTGTGTCAGCCAAGGAGGCCCATGACTGCAATCATGCTCCTGGTAATGATGTCATCAGACCCCAACTCCCCACCCCCTGCAGAGAGGGCCACTGCTAGGGTAACCCCGTGATCATCCTGTGGACATGGGCAAAGGTACATTTCCCCAAACATAGGAATAATGCCCTATCTCCCCAAACTTTCTAATAGCTGCTGCTGACATATAGGAGGAGGACAGGCTATGAAGATGTCTACGGGCTGGTAGGCACCCAGTTTCTCTGCGAGGCTAGCTTAAGGAGGTAGCCTAGGATGCGCCCTTCTTCTTCCCCTTCCTCCCTCCTCTCCATCCCCATGTGGGAGGATGGTGGAGCCTGTGAACACAGCTCTTAGCTTTCAGACTTGGTGCTAAGAGCAGTGCTAATCCATCTCAGGGACTCAGAGCCACAAGCTGAAAGGCAGCTTAAGAGGTTATCTTTTCTCCCACTGGCTCTAAGCAGGCGGCTGTCACAGCCATTCCACCCAAGTGTCATGCAGCATGCCCTCTTCTCTGTCTCCCGCCCTCCAACTCCCGTCATGGTTTGATGACTTGTCCAGTGGGGTTATCAGGATCTTTCTGATCCTTACTGAAGGGGAGGCCAGGAGGGAGCAGGAGGGCCGGCACAGACTTGTGGCTACATCTCCTACGGTATACATCTCACGCCAGGGGAGGACTGGGAGAGCTGAGCTCACCAGCACGCGCACTTTTGTATGAGTTGTGTGTTCCCAGGGTGCCTCCCAAAGAAGGCACAGTGAGGGTGGAGGTGTGCAGGCCAGAATCTCATCAATGCATGCATGCACGCGCACACACATGTGCACGTGCGCGCGCACGCACACACACACTGTCCTGATGCATGCAGCGCAGAGTAAAGGATGAGTTCATCGATGTGTGTGTACATGTACACAAACACGTGCACACACACACCATCCTGACACATGCAGTGTGGAAGGGTAGAGAACGCTAACTATCAGATCCCTGGCAGCAGTGTCTCCTTCCTGACAGAGGATGTGGAGAAATCAGCACAGACTCGAGCAGCCAGCATCAGGATGAGCAGAGAAAACACGCAAGTTGACTACGGGAGCAAGACAGGCTGTCTGGGCCCAGCCGACGAGGGACATGGTGCCCCCTTCTGACAGCCTCCCTGGATGGCACACATGGGGCATTTTTAACAGGGAGGCTGGCATGCTTTCAGCTTCTTTTGAGGTCTTTGAGGCATCACCTGGCTGTCATCAAGAGCATCGAGGAAGGGCCAAAGAGTTCCAGGAAGCCATTCCAAAATGATCTTCAGTTTCCCTTTGAATGCCTTGCGAATCCCAACCTCACTGTCTCGTGAGTTTTCTGGGCTCTGCGACATGTTTCTATCCTGCACTGTGGGAATGTCAGGGTGGGAGTGGGAGTAGGATAACTTCTGTTTGGGGCTGTGTGACCTTGGGCATAGTTAGATCCCTGTCAGAGCCTCAAATCCCCTTCTATTAATAGGAAAACCTCTGACTTCAAGCAAGATTTCCTCCGGTTCCTGGGGACCAGGGAAACATCATGACACTATCTTGGCCTTATGTACCTTGAGTCTTGGGGGGATCTTTGAAGTGCCAGGCTGGGTGTGTGTGGGGAAGGTGCCTGTGCCTGCTCCAGCCAGAGGATGACTGAGAGCCTGGGGACAGGCCTGGCGTGAGCCCTTCCTCAAGGCTGGTGGCTGACTCCGACTTGGGCAGCTGTTACAGCACTGGCCAGCAGAGGGAGCTGTAACCTGAGGCTTGGCTGCTGTAGGGCTGGCCTCAGCGGAATGAAGAGGAGAAACTGGGCCAGGGGTTGGGGTCCGTGGTGGTGGCTGGGAAAAGCTCCTTTTGAGGGACGCTAGGAGCAATTCCACAGTGAGCTGGACCAAGTCTTTTCATGGTGGGGGTGTGAGTGGGGAGGAGCGTGGGCCTTGCAGGCACTGCCAGACAGTGCCTGACGCCCCGGCCCCTGGCTGTTATGCCTGCAGGTGTGCTTGTTCCACCCCGGCCTTAGGCTCAGGGTGCTGGTAATCTCACTCACTGCCTTTGCCTTCAGCTTCTACAGGTGCTCCAGGCCAGAGAGGTCAGGAAGAAATGGATAGAGGGTATGGTCCATGCAGAGCCGGCTCCCGCAACCCACAGCTAAAGTAGATAGGTTTCCAGAAACCTCAGCTGAGCCAGGAGCTGGAACACAGAGCAGCCCCTTCACCAGACCCCACTGGCAACTCTTCTGGGGTTCAGAAGGTGGGGCAAAAGGCCTGCCCTGGGAAGTGCAAGAGGGGCCATGCTAATGCCACCTGGGGCTCCCGGAGCCTGCTCACGAGTGGGAGTGAAGTGAAGGTAAAGCTGGCACCGCCTGGAAACGACTAGGGCCTTTTGATACAATACGCTTGGCGGAAATGATAAAAATAATGATGAGGACCATTTACTGAACACCTGCTCTCTGCTCGGCAATGGGCCATGTAATTTACATGTATATTGCTAATCCTCACTAGTCACCAAACTAGGTAAAATTAGCTCCATTTTACAAATGAGGAACTATGTCTCAGAGATAAAATAATAAGCCGTAGATTGTCTGGTCTACCTCCAGAGGGCAAGGCCCGGTGGGCAAGGCTGCAGCTGGATCCTCTGGCAGTGATGTGGGCCAGCAGCACAGTGACCTGGAAGGAACCCCACACTGAGGCTCCCCAGGCCAGCCACCACCACCACTCCTGCTTCTCTTTCCATGGAACTCCGTGTTGGGTAGGGAGTTTGGGAAAGCAAAGGACCCAGGGCCAGGAGACCTGGGTGCCAGTTCAGGATGAGACCCTCGGTAAGTCACCTCTCTGGGTCTCAACTTTCTGTAAAGTGGGAGGACACTGTTATTCACCCGGGCCGGGTTCCAGGTAGTTGAGATCCAATGAGAGAAAGTATCTGAAGCCACTCTGAAGTCTGCAGAGTTTCCACTTATGGAGGCCTTCACACGGGCCAGGCGCTGCTGGTATGTCGCAGACATTACCTTATTCTTATCTAGCCCTTGCAAGGTTGGGGAGATGATCCACATTCTGCAGATGAAGTTGAGGGGCAGAGAAGTAAATGCTCAAGGTCACACAGGAGCAAAAGCAAGATTGGACCCAAGTCCTCTGATGCCGCAGCCATTGCTCTTGCCCCTTCTCTAGACAGTGCTTATAGTCCCTGGAGCAAGAGGGGTGGGACAAGACTGAGCTCCTGCTAGAACCTGCTGGGCCGTAGCAGGAGTGCCGGGTGAGGTGGGCATGCAGGGCACTCGCTCGCTGTATCTGTCCCTGGTGATGCTCTCCCGACTCCTCTCCTCTTGACCTTTGACTAGAGTGACCCATGAGAGTAACACTGACTTCTTGGGTGGCGACTAGGAGAGTGGTGAACCAGAGCAAAAGGCATGACTCCTGCTCAGAGCAGAAAGCTGGGTGTACATGGGGAGCACATATCCACAGGCATGCACACACACACACACAGAGGAATGAGTACATGTCATGTGCACACAAACGCTCATGCACGAGCACACCGAAACACATATATATGCATACACCCCCCACCAGGATACATGCAGACACACCCGTGGCCCCACACATACCACAGCAGGCTGCACACACACTTGCATGTGCACACACAGAGGGTGCATGCACATACCTGAGCCCACACTCATACTCCTCCCAGGTCTCTGTTTCTTACAAGTTCAAGCTGGTTCCCAGGCCCCAGGCATTTTCCTTCATGTTTCTAGGGAAGAGAGTGACCATGTGACTCACCCTTAGCTGCAAAGGGAAGGGGAGAGAAGGGGAAAGAAGGAGAGGGCAGGGCAAGGCGCAGGTGTGCGAAGGGTCAGTGATTTGAAATCCCGGCCAATTGGAGAGGGGCTCAGAGCTCTTCTAGATAGACCCCTCTATCTCCTAATCCCCTACTCAACTCACCTGCAGGCAGGCCACCCCGATGCCCACTGCCCCCATGAGCAGCAGGTGGTTGGCCAGGAACTGCTCCAGCTTGGTGATGCAGCCTCCCTGTAAGGCAACAGCAGGTCACATGCACCCCGACCCAGATGTGGGTGAGGGTGGGGAGAGAAGGGCTGGCTGTGGTGCTGCATCCAACTGGCTGAGGGAAGGCCAGAGACTTCAAGGGTCAGGTATAGCCTTTCAATTGCCCACAGGCTTCTCGGGTGACCTGGGGAGCATGCCGCGATGTCTCAGAATCTCCCAGTAGCAGCTGCTTGTCCCCAGGGTTTTGTGGGGACCTATGAAGTTCCTGCACTGTTGTCTCCTGGCCAATGAATAAGTGGATTCCACCTCCCCCCGCCTATCTGCCTGAGCCTGCCTTTTGGGGTCCCCTGGATGGCCAGCCGGGCCGTCTGTATGCCCCAGCTGGAGCTAGGGTGCTCACCTCCACTTTGTAGATGTTGGAGGGGTGGGCCCTTAGGCCACAGCGTGCCACCACTGTTTTGCAGCAGCTGTCGGGTACTCGGCGGCCCTCGGCCTCCCGAGACAGGATGTAGGCGCTGTGCTGCCAGTCTGCGGAGCTGTTGCTTCCACAGCACTTGAACTGAGGAGAGAGTCGGAGACTGGGGGTGAGGAGCCTGCACAGGGCTCCTCCATCCCCTCGGTTACAGGGCGCAGGATGCATTATTCAAACAGTAAGCCAACCTCTTGTTCTCCGGATTCATCTCCTTAGGATTCTTCTCTGGTCTCTTTGGGGCCTTCATTTCAGGCAGAATTTGCCTGCAGGTCACCCGTTTTCTACCTTAAACAACCACCCAAGAACTTTAAGGAGATGATGTTGGTGCCCTGGGGGCAGAGAGGGTCTGTGAGGAAATGCGCGGACGATAGATGCGGGTGGGTCCCTGAGGGTGTGGGACTCACTGGGTGGCAGAGCTCAGGGCAGGGCCAAAACCACAAAACCGTCTAGGGAAGCAAGATCCAGGGACAGGGAGCCAGCCTTGCCAGAGGTTCCCAGGCCTCCGCTCAGGCCCTGAAGCTTCAGAACCCCCAGACCTGCAGGGACAAGGAAGGTATCCCAGAGGCCACTGAGCTGGCAGCACCGCAGTGACCATCTGCACCTCCCCAGGGCAGCGAAGTGCCAGCCCAGGTCTAAGGTGATTCCAAATCAGAAATTGGTTATTTCTTGTCTTTCTGAGCTGGGGGACTGCAACTCAGAGTCCCTACATATGCCACAGAACATGGTTGTTTTGAGGTCATCTCTGATGTGTGGGGCGCAGGTGGGGTGGGAGGTACAGTTAGTCCAGTTAATAAGTGTTCATTAGGCACCTACTATGTGACGCGAATGAAGCTAGGCATTGGGCTGAACGTGAGTCATATGGCTCCTGCCCTTCTGAAGCCTGTCATTTCCTAATGTCTAGCAGGAGAGACAATGGGAGCGTGTGTGTGGCACAGAGAAAGAAGGGGCTAATGGCTCCACTCACGGGCAAGAAAGAGAAGGCACCCTGAGGTCAGGCAGAACAAAACAGCACACAGAGCCAGACACAGCAGGGGATGTGCTAGGAATCGTGTGAGATTGTGTGTCTGTGTATCTGTGTGTGTGTCACCTGGACAGGTATTTTAATCACGTTGTTGTGAGGAGTGGAAGAGGCTGTTCACGGAACGCACTTGAGAGAGTCCTGCACAAGTTCAGCAGTCAGTAAGAGATGCCTACTATCTACTGTTACCATAACTGAGTGGATTCTGGCACATGGGTGTCATTCACATACGTGGGGTGAGGCCGGGACCCAGATGCAGGCCCTGGCTTGAAGCCACTGCCTTCTCGGGGCTCAGTTTCCTCATACCTAAGATCCAGGCCTGGGCCCATGGTCCTTTCATGTTTTTTGAGTTCTAACTGCTCTTGGCAAATGAGAGGGCCCATGTTCATGTACTGTGGTGCCCACAGAGGCCTCCGGCAGTGCACAGTGCTCACTTCCAGATGTGTCCTTCCTCGTGCTGTTCTCCATTCCTGGCCTGCCCCTGCCATCTTCTGCACGTGGGCAACCCAGGTCCTCCTTGGCCCCTTTAATTGGCCTCCCCAATCCTTGTTCTCCACTCTGAGGTCCCCCCGAGCCTAGCACCGAGGGCAGGGATTTGGGCAGTTACTCAGATGGGAGGCCCAAAAAGTGTGGACTGAGCTTTGGCAGAGCCAACCAGCTGGGTGTGCGGGAGCTAAGCAAATGGGTGTGGGTGCAGCTGTGTGTGCACGGGTGACCTTGGCCACTATTTCTGAGGACAAGAGATCCCTTATATGGAGCTGACCGGGAGCTGAGCCAGTCTCTAGGAGATGGGACAGGTGCCTCCCCAGCTGAACTAAGGTGTCCCAAGAGTTCACCCTCTACTCTCTCTCCTTGTCTGGTGTTCCCACAAAAAGACCAAGGCTTCAGGCCTGGTCTGTAGACACAGGATGGAGCAGAGACCACAGGGTGGGGGTGGGTTGGCAGGAAGAAGGGGTACCAGAGTGGGCAGGTGGTACTGCCTCAAATTTGCAGACACAGAACCACCAGGATCCTGGAGTCAAGCTGTCCAACAGAACTTTAGTGACAGAAATGCCATCTTTCATGCTGTCCAACTGGGTGGCCACGGGCTGCATGCAGCTATGGGGAACCTGAAATGAGGCTAATGTGACTGAGGAACTGAATTTTATATTAAATTTAAATAGCTACATGTGGCTGGTGGCTACTGTTTGAGATTGCCCAGGTCTAAGGTCCATTTGCCCCTTCCTTCCCTCTGGCAAGACCGAGGGCTGCACTGGAGGTGTCTGCTGAGTCTCTTCTGGAAAGAAGAGACCACCTTGCTGTCCATGTGTTCTGCCTGACGGTGCACAACTGGGAAGTTCTTGCAGTGGCTTAATTCAGTCCCCCACACCGCCCAGCCCATGAGTGGTGGGCAAGCAAATGAAGCTTCATCTGTATTTGCAGCCGCTCCCCAACACTAGCATCACTGCCTCGGCTCCACCTCAGATCATCAAACATTAGAATCTCATCTACCACCTTGCTGTCCATGTGTTCTGCCTGACGGTGCACAACTGGGAAGTTCTTGCAGTGGCTTAATTCAGTCCCCCACACCGCCCAGCCCATGAGTGGTGGGCAAGCAAATGAAGCTTCATCTGTATTTGCAGCCGCTCCCCAACACTAGCATCACTGCCTCGGCTCCACCTCAGATCATCAAGCATTAGAATCTCATCAGAGCACTGGTCGCTGGTGCCAGAAAAGTTGGGGACCACTGGGACTTAACTGAAATATCGCTGCCTATTACTTAAATCAGGGCTGCAGTTGTTAGCCTGCCCTACTGCCCGCCAACAATGGAAGGAGCCAGGAGATGAAGTTCTCCTGGGACAGCCCCCCTTTCTGTCCACAGGGCACTCAGAGGGGAAGACAGCAGGGTGAGGTATGGAGGAAACAGTTGGGGGAGCCATGGTGAAGGCCAGGACAGAGGAGGAGGAAGGAAAGAACAGGATTCAGTAAGCACTTTTCATGGTGAGTAGGGCTTCTATATATGGGCTTCTACACATATTTAATGCTCACACACCCTATGAGCAACTGAAGTTGAAAGAAGGGAAGTAACTTGCCCAGAGCTACACACACAGGAAGGGACAGAGTCAGGATTTCAACCCATGTCTGCACGGCCTTCAAGCCCATGGAGAGGGGCTTACATCCTGCTGTAGCCGGTCCACTGAGGTGGTGATCTCCGAGGCTCCGGGCTGCCCATAGTTCTCAGACAAAGTCTGGGTCAAGTGCTGCTTCAGTTCATCGCTCAGCTGGAAGGGGGAGAGGGAAGGTGGCATCTGCAGAGGCCCCCAAACCCCCTGGTCCCCAGGCCTGCACCTGAACCATGCCAGCTAACTCTAGAACACCAGGTAATTTGAATGGTGCAATGTGGTAGTTTCCCAAACGGATGGAGACCGCACCCATGTAAGACAGAGTTCACGGAGATGGTGTTGCAAAAGCCGGGGCCCTGACATGGGGGCAGAGGTGCGGTGGGCAGAGCTGAGAGACAAGGGGAGGAGGCAGCTCCTAGGCACAGGGGCGCTTTTAAACATCTGTTGATTTACATTTTGATTATGAGATGATATTCAAAATATTTACAATCATTATCCTGTGGGTACCTATTGGTCCTATGGACGCTGGCTTGAACCAACCAGCCGACCCCACCCAGCTGAATATCAGCCTGGTCATGACAGTGAACCTCTGATTCACAGGGCACTTGGTGGGAGGGGACCTGAATGGCACCTTCATCCTTGTCCGGTGCAAGCAGGCAAGGCTTGGTGCTGTCTTCATAGTCTGGCATGTAGCCCTGGTCTAAGTCTTTCCCCTTGGATGTCTCACAGCCAGATTCTGCTCTACCTCTCTTTGGAAGGGGAGAGGGCCACCCTTCCTGGCTCCCAGCAGATGAAGGAGAGAATTACTGGAACTGGGACAAGAAGCAGGTCCCAGACGTGCCAAGGAACATTAGGTCCTGGAAGACAGGACCGCCCTGCGTGTTGCTGCCTCAGCTTCCCCATCACTCTGCACCCCTCCCTCATGTCGTTGCCTCCTGGGGCACTGATGGGGAACAAGAAGGAAGAACCTCCACTCACCCTCTGGTAGTACACGTGGGCTAGGACCCCTGCCACCAGCTCAACGAGGAAGATCACCAGCAACAGGCAGAAATACTAGGATAAAGGAGAGAAGACAGTCACCACCGGAATTGGGCCTGGGGAGGCAGATGGCACTTCAGGACCTCTGTGACAAATGTTTGCCCAAAGCAGTAAGAGGGGTACCTGGGATCCCCCCATCAATACCATCTTTCTCCTCTTCCCAGTAGTTCTGGGCATACCTACCTCTGCTGCTTGCTGGCACGGAGTTCCCCACTCACCCCTCCTGGTCTACTGTCAGCTTATTAATCCATCCATCTGTCTGTCCAAGTTCTGGGCATACCTACCTCTGCTGCTTGCTGGCATGGAGTTCCCCACTCACCCCTCCACTCACTGGTCTACTGTCAGCTTATTAATCCATCCGTCTGTCTGTCCGTCCATCCACCCATCCATCCAATATTTATTAAATACTTACTATATGCTAAGTATCATAAGACAGTTATTGCCCTCAAAGTTATTGGTAGTAGGGGGATAGATAAGTAAATGATTTTAATAATGTGTTATAAATGCTACTATAGGCAAACCCTGGAAACTAGGGGAGGCCCCTGGGGGGGGGTGGCATTTGGAGAAGGCTCCCTGAGTGGTGTCTCTAAGGATGAGCAGGCGTTTGCCAGGTAAGAAGGGAAGTGCATGCCAGAGAGAGCACGTGCGAAGCCTGGAGAGAGTGAGACGAGAATGGGGTGTGTAAGCTTTAGGAGTGGAGAGCAGATGTGGCTAGAGTGTAGGGGCTGGATGGGCAGCAGCAGCCAAAGCTCCGGGAAAGCATGGGCAGGACCTGGGAAGGGCGTTGTTGGGAGTTCTAAATCCCCCTCTTCACTGAATGGCCTCTCCAGGCTCGGGGCTGCTCAGCAGGCTTCACAGCCCTGCAGCTGTCCGGTTTTCTGACCCTGCTCTTGGCTGTAACAGGCTTGCATCCCACCCCCACTCCCACCTGGTTTTACAAGGAGGAAGGCTTAGGACACTGCTGGATCCTGGTGTGTTCTTGCAGGAGCCAAAAGGTCAGAAATGCATATCAGGCCTATGTGGCTGGGTAGGGACACGTGAGGGAGTTGAAGCAGGCTACAGGCAGGGAAGAGGGAAAAGAAGGGAGGAGGAGAGCGGAGGAAGAAGAGGTGAGTACTGTTGCTTGAAATTAGCCCCCTCTGGGCAAGCACAACCCACACTCCTGAGCACTGGTCGGTGACACCTTATCCTCCCTTCAGACACTGCCCATTCACCTGGCCACACAAGGCAGCAGCCTATGGTCACTCAGTCACTAGATTACAGGGAAGGCCTATTCTGGGGTGAGCTCTGAAATGCCAGGGCTCATCAAGTAGGGCGAGATTGTGGGCAGGAGGGCATGTGAGTGGGAAGGAGACAGCTGAGGGTTAATGGGGTGGGGACAGCAGGAGGACAGGGGCAGTCTGGCCAGTTCAGAGGCAATGCCAGCCCATAGGCCTTGCCCAGGTGGCTCCCAGAGCCCAGCGGGGGGCTTGGCAAGGACAGGGCTTAAGCCATACAGGGTAGAGGACATTTCACGGAGAAAGAACTTTGACCCAAGAGCAAGGCTTCCTTTCAAATTACGTGAATTACTCATCTCTCCCTCAGCCATTTTATTCAGCCCATCATCTTCCAGCATCGGAGCTGGCCACTATCAAGGAAACAGAGAAGCTTTCCAGTCTCTGAATAACAGTGGCAGGCCTGCCTTCATCACTTGTGGGCCCTGAGGCAAGAGTACAAATGGAGGTCCCTGGCCCCCCTCCCTTTCTACCCAGGCTCTATGCTGTACCAGGAAAGGCCCCGGGCCTCCATATTGAAGCTCTATCCATCCCTCTCCCAGGACCATGACCCCCCTCTCCCGCCCCCCATCCCTTGGCAAGGAAGTGGCAGAGGCTGGTGTGGTAGAGTGGTGGTGGTGGTGGGGGGGGCACACCAGCCTCAGGAACACTGTGCAGGCTCTGGATGGAGGCTCATGCTGTCCGCACAGGGCTTCCCAAGCTCCTGAGTACTGGGATGAGGTCTAGAAGTGGGGAAGAGAGAGCTAGTTTCCACCAGGGCACACTTTCTGGGCCCCATGGACTTTTCCCACCATGGGGATGGGTATGAGTGAAGGGGGGCTGCATAGAGCCCCTGGCATGGCCATGTGCCTGGGTCCTCCCAGGCGAGAGGCTGACAAAGGGTTGGTGGCTGGGCCCTCTCTTCTTGGGGAGCCTCTGTATCTAACACGGGGCCCGAGAACCTAAAGAATGGTCGTGGAACATCAGTCGACTTGGGTTTAAGACCAGGCTCGGCCACTTGCTGGCTCTGGATGGGTGACCACTGGCACTTTGCTGTGAATTAGAAAAATTTGCTCCAAAGAGAAAAATATGGCTCAGTGAGTTGGGCAAGCTGAATTTCAGCATTCCCTGGTTCCTTGCACAAGATGCAACCTTCAGGGCCATACACAATGGCCCTGCCTGTGGGACTGAGACAGTAGATGGTCATATCCTGCCCTGCCCACCTCTAGGGGACCAATGGGAGGGAAATCGTGCTTCATAGCCATCTGACCTGCTTCCTGCTCCTAGAGCTCATGGGCGAGAGCATGAGGTGAGCTGAACTTGTCAACAAGTGGCAGGCACAGCCCTCCTGAGAACTGCCTGGACCACTGGACAGAGTGTGGCTGCACTGACACACATCAGGAGGGCGTCCCTTCCTAACACACACACTGTAGGGTCTTGGGAATGTGTCTGGCCCTCAGCTCCTCTCTGACACAGCTGCCCTTCCTGCTGGCTCCAAATGGATCCCCATTCCCCTGCCTTAGTACTCTGAGGCCTACTGTCATCCTGCCACAGGACCCTGTGTGTGTGGCTGCCAGTCACTCCCCAGGCTTCCTGAGTACATCCTGTGTGCCCTCTATGGTGTGGGAGGATGGGATGATGGGGCGCCGTAACTGAATGAGAGAATGAAGGCCACTGCCAGGTAGGAGGGCAGCATCTTCCCACCTTCCTTCTGTGGGGGGCGGGAGAAGCTTCTCTCTCTATCACTGCTGTCAGGTGCAAGTCATGCACGGATGGTGGCCGTGAGATGTGATGGTGTCGTGCTGCTCTCTGGGAAGTCCTTGCCACAGCTGCTATTGAAGCCTGGCTGGGGAGGCGGGATGATGGGAAGGAAGAGCAACTGAACCACATCCATGATTTAATGGCAGGTTAAATTAGTACATGCCAGCCCCTCAGAAAGGTTCCCAGGTATCAAACAAGCTCTCCAATCTGCATGAGAAGGCGGGATGGGGGAGAGCACCCCTCCCGCCAGGAGCTCCAGCTGTAAAGATGCCCTAGGGTGGAAGCCAGGGCCAGGCTGGGGCTTCCTGGGGAGGGGGGACAGAGGTTGGAGTGCCAGGGAGTGGACCTGCTGAGCTCTTGAGGGGCACGGGTGCTGGCTCCAGGCAGAAGCTTCAGTGGAGGGAGGGCTGCAGGTGTGTGACTCACTTGGGCGGGGGAGGCCCTGAATCACAGCTTCTTTGTGACAGTCCCCGAGAGGCAGGTCATGCATACTGGTATTCTGTACTGAGGATCCTGGCAGCCCTGCCTCTTGAGCTGGCCGACTGGAGCCTGCACAACAGGGCTAGGCTGGTGGGGTTTTTGCCATGTGAGGCCATGAGCTCTAATAAAGGCCTCGCCTCTGCCACTCCACCTTTGTTTTCCAAGCCTTCCCTGACTCCCTCAGTCCAGCCAAATCATCTCAGGAGACCTAGGGCACGAGCTGGCCATGAAGATCTGTGAAGTGTTCCTTCTGTTCCTGCACACAGTTCCTTACATAGAGGCCAAGCCTTTCAGCCTCCGTGCCTTTGTGCTTGTTGTCTGCTACCTAGACTTCTAGTGCCTCAATATCCGGCTCAGCCATGGCCTGCATGCACCATCTCGGCCTGGCTGTGGTTGCCCTGCCCACCCCCGACCATCCTCAGCCCTAATGCCTCCAGTGCTTCATCTGCCTCCATAACCCCACACAAGGCCTTTGTTTTTCTCCTTCTTTCCTTGACTAGATTCAAATCTGTCTGTGTCCTTCATTCCCTGCCATGCTGTTCCTCACATGACAGTTCCCAGTAGGCCTTGGCTGGATGAGTGACAGAACTTTAGCCACTGCTCTGTAGAGCCGCTACTACTTCAAGTGTTACCCTTTGGTTTCCCCAGAATGACTGTGAGTTTCTGAGCCCTAATGCCTCCAGTGCTTCATCTGCCTCCATATCCCCACACAAGGACTTTGTTTTTCTCCTTCTCTCCTTGACTAGATCCAAATCTGTCTGTGTCCTTCACTCCCTGCCATGCTGTTCCTCACATGACAGTTCCCAGTAGGCCTTGGCTGGATGAGTGACATAACTTTAGCCACTGCTCTGTAGAGGCCGCTACTACAAGTGTTACCCTTTGGTCTCCCCAGAATCACCGTGAGTTTCTGGGGAACAGGGGCCATATCTTAGCTTCTCCCGGCTGCTACTCTGTGTCTGGTGTGGTGCTGGGTCTAGCTGCATACTTAGTGAACATCTCGCTTTAAAATGTATGATGTAAGGTATCTTACAGAGCATGCCTGTGACAACGCGGACTGGTCAGAGCATGCCGGCCCATGATTAGGGGCAGGAGCCTAATCTTTTTTTGATCTGTGGGTACCACAGAATTGTTACTTTAGTTTAACTTATACCAGTGGCTCTCAACTTGGCATGATTTTGCAATGTCTAGAGACATTTTGTTGTTGTTGTCACAACTGGGAGGAGTTCAGGCACCTAGTGGGTATAGAGGCCAGGGATGCTGCTGTACATCCTACAGTGCGTGGAATTATCAGGTCCCAAAGCTGATGCTGGGACTTCATTTGCAAATGTGTCCCTGTGCACTGTGAGACGCACAACAAAGATATGAGGAGGGTTATCTAGTTCCTGAGAAGCCTGAACTGAACACACAAGCACATGAGGAGTTTTACTCTGTACCTGCCTGGTAGGGCAGCTTTGTGCAGGAAGGTGTACACCCTGACTCAAGGAAGGATCAGTGAAGCAGAGGGAATGCCACCAGTCCAGC